CTGTCTTTTTGTGTTTTGATGTTTGTTCATGCTGCTTGCTAATCCATACAATATTTCTATAATCTTTGTTTTGAAAGTTTTAATTCTTTGTTTATTTTTGTGAAACTGAAAAAGAAAAACTGAAAGATTACCGTAGAATTCCAGCAAATAGTGTCGTTGTCTGAAGCTGTTGATGTTGTTGCTGTTGCTGTTGATATCGTTTATGTTGTTGATGTTGTTGTTATTGTTGTTGATGTTGTTGATGCTGTTGATGTTGTTGATGTTGTTGTTGATGATTTTGTTGATGTTGTTGTTGTTCCTGTTGACGCTGTTGATGTTGTTGTTGTTGTTGATGTTGATGATGTTGTTGTTGTTGTTGTTAGTGTCTTTGACGTTTTTGTTGACGAGTTCGCCACCAAGCCTCTGTGGTTGTTGTGGTAGCTGCTGCAAAAATTTTATCCGTATGCCATTAGACCGCGATGAAAAAACCTGTCGTCTCCTTTTACCGTTTAAACAAATTATTGCTGACGACGATGACGACGACGATGATGATGCTAATAATGATGATGATAATGATGATGATGATGATGATGATGATGATGATAATGATGACGATGATAATGATGATGTCTTATCTTGGATAAACAAGACATTTGCCCTGCATGACGTTCTCTTCTTCGCGAGTTTTCTAAATGCTCTTTCGCGAGACCATCATTACTACCACCACGGCCACCATCATTATCACCACCACCAGTCTCATCATTATTATCATCATCATCATTATCTTCATCAAGTTTTCTATCTTTACTCACAAGAGCCTTTTTGTAATCAATTTTTTCCTCATCATCATCATCATCGGATCCGTTTAAATCCCAAAGAAATACCACTATGTATCTATCTTTTAATGTTTCAACACTGATCCAACAGTTATGGAAGTAAGAAGATGAAGATGATGGTGATGATGATAATGATGATGATGATGATAATGATAATGATGATGATGAGGATGATGGTGATGATGAGGATGATGATGAAGAGGAGGAAGAGGAAATGGATTCGGTATTCGAGTAGGAAAAATAATCGAAACTCGAAAGAAATATTTGTCCCAATTGGATTGGTATCGATAGAATTTGAGCATCATCTGCACACCAGTTCTTCCGTAAGCCCAGAGATCGCATATTGATTGCTTGTAGTTGGATTGATAGATGGATGGATGGATTGATGGATGGATAAATGAATGGATAAATGGATTGATGGATATTGAAAAAAAATTTTATAATATAATAATATTTGTTTAAAAAAAAAATTTGTGAACCAACGAACAACCAACCTGGCACACAGACATGTGACGCTTGTAGATACAACTTGAAATCTCTGGGACAACTTTTTTCCGTCCTACTCCTATTCCCATTTTCCAGTTTGGGATTCGGTACTGGGATGGAACAGGATACCCGGCCGGTACATATGTCGTCGGCTTCTTTGAGGACGTCGGTATAGCAGCCTAGGTAGCCGAAGTCGTTCTGAACGCATCTTGACGATAGGTGTGTGTGTTTGTGTGTGTTTGTGTGTTTGTGTGGGCTTGTGTGTGTGGATTTATGTGTGTGTGTGTGGATTTGTGTGTGTAGATTTATGTGTGTGTGTGTGTGTGGTGTGTGTAGTGTGTGTGTGGGCTTGTATGTGTTGATTTATGTGTGTGTGTGTGTGTGTGTG